AAAATTCTCAAAGTAAATGCTCTGAGAGTCGAATGTAACATTACATCAGGTGCATATATGGGAGTAAAATTCACAAGATTCATGAATTTTTTCCTGCAGTACTACCTGGATATAAAATTATTGAATTTTCTTCAAATGTGATTTATCTCCCACATACCGTAAAGTGTATAGATAATTTGCAATTACGCATCATTGACCAAGACGGAAATTTAATAAACTTTCGAGGTGAAGTAATAACCATTAGATTACACCTGAAAAGTACGTGATGGGAATCGTTTACAATTTAAACAGTAGTGGTGGCTATATAAGCAGTAAAATATACAAACCAAACATCAGTCGTCGATTGAAAGTCAAAGCAATAACACGGTGAAATCCGAGTGTCAATCGTCATCGAAAAGCGAAAGGATTTACACGTCAAAGCATAAAGTTCCTAAAAAGTCTAGACTTAAAAGTAATTTTTGGTGGAATGTAACTTTCATTATTTTTTGATGCATTCAATGAAATAGTGGAAAACGTTTTACAAATAAAGTCGCCTTTGATGAATCCTTGGCTCATTATAAGATTCATATTCATCAACCGTACACCAATACATCTTTCAAAAATAGCGATAAAATTCGTATCTCAATACAACCCAATAACCCATCATCAAGACCTGTGTCTTTTACTATCTAGTAGCTCATTGCGTATTTGTTGAAGATTGTGCGAGCATAAAAATGCAGTCTTAAAGAATACTCTATTTGTGAACAACGCCATCTGTCACTTATTTGAGAAAAGTAGGTATGAGGTGTGCTCAAAAAGTAAGGTGACTTTTCAAATTTCACTGACAACGTACTTTCGATTATCGATTTTTTGTTTTGTTATGTTGGTACACTCTTCCCGAAAATTTGTATCAAGTTTCAAACGTATAGCATTTTTTGTTTGGTTGTGAGAGGCGTAAAGGTTATAAGTGTTTTGCGTGCTCGGCGATTTCTTGCTTTCGAAAAATATGGATCAAAGGATTTGCATCAAATTTTGTGTAAAAAATAAAATAAAGTGCTCCGAAACACTTGAAATGTTGACGGTGGCATTCGGTGAAACTGTTCTGAGTAACAAAAATGTTTACAAGTGGTACAAACTCTTCCAAGATGGCCGGGAAGATACCAATGACGAACCTCGCTCTGGACGCCCAAGCACGTCAACAACTGATGAAAACGTTCAAGCAGTGAAGAAAATTGTTCTGGAAAATCGTCGAATCACTATCAGAAATGTTGCTGAGGATGTTGGTATATCGCTTGGCTCGTGCCATGAAATTTTTTCTAACGTTTTGGGCATGAGACGTGTCAGCGAAGTTTGTTCGGAAATTGCTAAATTTTGACCAAAAGAACCGTCGCATGAGCATCGCTCAAGAACTGTTGAATGACGTCAACGACGACCCAGATTTACTCAAAAGGGTCATAACTGGTGACGAATAATGGGTATATGGTTATGATATCGAAACCAAAGTCCAATCGTCCCAATGGAAGAGCCCAGATGAGCCAAGGCCGAAAAAAGCACGCCAAGTTCGTTCAAATGTCAAAGTTTTGCTCACTGTTTTCTTCGATTACCATGGCGTGGTGCATCAGGAGTCCTTACCATATGGATGTACGGTCAATAAACAGTATTATCTTGAAGTTATGCGCCGTTTGCGAGAAGCAATACGAAGAAAACGTCGAGAATTGTGGAAAAACAATTCATGTCTTTTGCATCACGATAATGCCCGTGCTGACTCATCTTTGCTTGTGAGAGATTTTTTGGCCAAAAACAACACCACAATCATGCCTCAGCCACCATATTCACCAGATTTGGCCCCATGTGACTTTTTCTTGTTCCCAAAACTAAAGAGACCTATGAAAGGACGGAGATTTGCAACGATTGAAGAGATAAAGACTGCATCGCTGGAAGAACTCAGGGCTATACCGAAAAATGCTTATGAGAAGTGCTTTGAGGATTGGAAAAACCGTTGGCATAAGTGTATTGTATCTGAAGGGGATTACTTTGAAGGGGACAACATAAATATTGATAAATAAATAAATATTTTTTCTTAAAAATACAAAGTCACCTTACTGTTTGAACACACCTCGTAAATGCGATAGAATCGATAAATACAAAAACGTTGGTCTAACAACAATTATGAAAAATTGGCTATCACTTAATTCAAGTGAAAATTGTATTGCTGAAATTGCCGGATGTATAACAGAAAATCTTCAGAAAATAAACAACGATGATGTATATTGCGATGTCACTATGCCTTTAAACTTCATTCTCGGATTTGATCAAGATTATCGCAAAGTATTGGTAAACATGAACTAATTCTCACACGATCGAGCAGTGATTTGAATACCGTTATCCAAACAACAAAATTAGTTGAACTAGAAACAATTATCGAAAACATCGAGAACGATATATCACGCATCGAATGGCTTATGCCATACGTTACTGCATGGAATACTCAAAAGATTCGTCTACTTGATTTTCTGAAAAGAGAAAGAAGCATTTCAATGAGTTTTCGCAGTTGGGAATTATATGAGTATCCAATGCTGCCTATGAATACAAGTCATATATGGACAGTCAAAACTGGAAATCAACTGGAAAAACCTCGTGATGTCATCTTAGTTTTTCGAACTAAATAAAAAAACATTTCAACAGTTAATGCGAGCGTATTCGATCATTGCAACATTAGTAACGTGAAACTTTTCCCCAACTCTCAGTGTTATGTGTATGGTAATCTTAATATTGACATAAATAAGCATCAGTTTGCAATGTTATACGACATGTATGCCAATTTCCAGAAGGCATACTACGGTAAAGACTCTGAACCGATGCTAAAAAATCTACCTTCATAAAACAAGTACCACTCATTGTCATTGATTACTCTAAACAAAATGAGATATTGAAGAACTCTGAAGTGGATGTACGTTTGGAGTTTAAAACAAGGGAAAATATTCCCCAAGGAACTTCAGCGTATTGTTCCATTTTACATGATCGTATCGTTCAATACAATTCTGTAAGTGAGGATGTGAAGAAACTTATTTAGGGAGAGGAGATCGTTGTATTAAAAAGATGACTCTTCCCTAAAACAGCTCAGTAGCAGCCAAAATAAAGTACGTAGTGGATATGTAAGGTTTCATGATGCCTGGCAAAACATATACCTTAAAGGAGCTAGCAATACTTCTACTTAACTGCGACGAAGAACCTTTCGTATGATTATTCAAACCTCCGTTTCCATGGCGAAGACTATCTGAAAAATGTAAGCATCATAATCTTTCGATGGAATTCTAACAATGGATTAGAATCGGACTCTGATGATATCAAGTACGAAGAGCATAAATTGATCATCACAGGCACGCTCAAAGGTGCTACAAAAATTTTTAAGACAATTTTCTGGAGACCTGAAAAAAGAGTGGTAAAAACGATATGGCCTCAAAGTTCTCGACTTGAATGATTGGGGCTTTTCCCTTTTTAAAAATATGAAATCAGTTACTGTGTGTGCTAATCATAACGGTAATTCCGTAACAACGTGCGCACATCAAAATGTGAAATTTATGAAAAAGCTTTACTTAAATGGTTGCTGCATGGATTGGGAAGATCCAGTCTTAGAATAAGATTTATTTTTTATCAATAAAAAAATTTTATTTAAGAAAAAATAATTTATATATTTACTATTACCACCCCCCTCACTCTACTCCACTATTTCTTTAATTAATAATCAGTAAATATATGGATTCATGCATGCATATACATAGACGTTGCGATTAATTGTGTATACAATATATATGCATATATGAAAACAATATATATGAATATCTATGCATTCATATATATATATAATAACATATGATCTTAAAACACGTGCATACATACGGATGAACTCGGGCGGAGGGGTGGAGAGGTGGTAGAGGCTACGGTCTATCAATCCATAAGACGTGAGATCGATTCCCCGTGGTGTCTGCTCATTTTTTTTACTGAGCTAAGTCTGCATTACATTGTATACACGTAAATAAACTGCATAAATACATTTTAATATTTAAAACGCATTTCACATTGGGCGGTCGTGGGGAGGGCGGGAACTCTTGCGCATGATTTAAGAGTGCTGATCTGATAGATCATGCATTTCAGATCACTGATTTGAGGCCCTCCTTGATCTGAGCCCCCCCTTGATCTGTGACCCCCCTTGATCTGTGACCCCCCTTGATCTGTGACCCCCCTTGATCTGTGACCCCCCTTGATCTGAGGCCCCCCCTGATCTGTAGCCTCTCTAGCTTACCTACTTACAATAATTATAAAAATATCACTATTATATTAAACATAGACTATAAATTTAAATATACGTATTTGATTATTATAGTAGAGAGAGAGAGAGAGAGAGAGAGAGAGATCAAATATAGAATGGTAGTTCATGTAAAAAAAATAGTGGACAAGGCACTATTGTAAATCTTTGTACACTCGAAATATACGGTAGTGTATCAATACAAATTCCTCGTACATTAAAAAGGCTTCCAACGAAACTACTTTAATGGTACGATCTAAACTACCAAACATTATAAAATTACGCGTTACTTTAATTGTCGTGAACGTTAGTTACTTATTAATATGTCATCATTTTAATATATTGCGCCATATTTTACGTTTTTCATGCGGATTTACAACCATAAATACATCTTTATATATATTTTATACAGACAGTTTTCTAAGTACTGTTACGTGATTTGATTCGCTGTTGCCTTCAGTATAATAATATAAAAATTAATCAAGTTCAAAACGATGGTCTGATGCAAAAACTAAAATATTTTGCCCTTACCATTTATCAATTATTCTCAGTCCAAACACTGTGAATTCATTCAAATTTTACACTGTTAATTGTAACTTCTAAGTCTTTTTTATTTCATAATATTTGATGCTGTATTGTTTAGATTTATTAATAAATCATTGTAAATGTGGTAATTGAATTTATTTTAATTCATAATTGTTATTTATAATTTCAGAAAAGACCTGAAAAAAATGGTGGATCTGTTCGAATCAACAATGATCTAGTACATAATTCTGTACATTTGAATTAAAGAATATTAATGGATAAATCTAGTTTCCACAACATTTTTAATGGTAATCGCTTGTGCTGCATCCAAATAACTGAGCGTATTGTAACTGTTATTTGTTTACGGAAATAAAAATAAGCTAAAAGCTATTATAATAGCATTATAACAGTATTATAAATATATCTACTGCATCTATGTAATATTTTGATTAGTTATTTTTCTTTTCCATTTAGACTTTGGTTTTTTTCTGGATAATAAAAGCAACTCCTAACAATTGCAAATTTTGTGCATTACAGATATAATTGCTTAGTAGTGTCAGTTGATTTTTTGAAATATAATATCTATATGTATATTGTAATAGGTTTAAAAGATAACATTGACAATATTTTATTCTAGAAAGAACATTTTATTATGAAAAAAAAAAAGTTGAATAAAGAGTTTGAAATATTCCAAGAATTAAGGCATTACGATTGAATGCCATAAAATTAACTGTATCGAAGAAGTCTTGTGATAGAATAAATGTGAGAGGGATGTTTTTGTAAATTACTATACCATTCATTTATAAATTTATGACAAATTATATTATAATTACTTTAATCGAAATATATTTTCAACCTATTTACATATAATTTTAAACCTAACACACAATTTATTAATGAACAGCTATTATTGTTATTATTATTATTATTATTTTATGGTGATTGAAAAAAACAAATGAATCTTCTGTAGATCATGTGACGGAGTGATCGATCACTTCAGGCTGGGCTGCTATAGCTAACAGCCAAGACATTTGAGCCAGCCTGATAATCTGCTGACCATATCTGAGCGTAGTAGACAAGTCATGGCAAAGAGAAGTAATATCCACCTTCGTCCATTCCCCAGCGAGGAACTTCGTTAGCATTACTTCCTAATTATTCGATCTTTCATACGTATTTGCGCTCATTCGCTCACAACATTCACTCAACTTCCATGCATCTCTCCGCCTATTTCCCACAACTTCCAGCATCCTTCGGGCTGTTTTCCTCATAAGATAGCCTTGAAATACATCGTAGTTGTTTCCGGTGACTGCACACAAAAAATATCTGCATTGTCTCGTTTGTGTCCGCAGTATTTCCAGTCGGAACTATTTACTTTTCCTCTATCGAATAAGTTGTCAGTAAGGAAGTGGGTCTGAAAAAAAATAATTTCTCCAAATCTCCTTTCCATTCACAGTCTCAGGCCTTTGATCATCGTCCATGCGCCAGTCTTGTTCGTCCTCCATCGTTTGTTCCAGCCCATTATTGTCCTATTTCTTTAATCTTCCGCAGCTTCTATCCATGTTATGTCTGGGGTTCGTTCGTATATGCGCTGCCGTTCTCTTATAAGTATGTCTATCAGGATCACGCACGCTACCACTAGTACAGTCTTGGCCGAGACCGACCTATAGATGCAAGCCTCAAAGCACCCTGGCTCTGTACGATCTTCAGTCGTTAACGATATTTTCTGACCTCCAGTGCATCGGACCACACCTCCGCCCTGTATAACATGATCAAGTAGATCATAGACATCAACAGTCTTCTCTTCCATTATCTTAGTCCAAATGGGTTTGCTATCAGGTGACTGAGTGCGGAAGTCTTCTCTGCCACTTTTTTGACTGTCTCTTAAACATGTGGTCAAAATGCTAACTTTGTGTCCAGGATCACCGCTAGATACTTTACCCAATAACACAATAACTCTAGATACTTTAGTCCTTCTAGTCTGTGTCTGTGTCTCTCCGACTGACATTGAGATAAGAGTGTTAATCCTACTTTTCCTCAGAAGAATGAGTTCTGCATTATCCAGGCCAAGCTCAGTTTATATCTGGCCATCCATCTATTCATTCGCATCATCGCGCGGTTCAACAGTATTTGTGCCAGTCTGTATTTTGTGTCGTTATTACTACTGTCACATCGTTAGCGTAGGTGACCTGCTTAACCTCTGTTGGCATGTCCAGTCTAAGTAGCGTATCATAAAGTATCTTCCAAATATCTGGGCCCAGAATAGACCCTTAAGCAACTCCTGCAGTGATCCGTCTGGTCACCGTACCGTCTGTCGTCTGGTATCTGATCCATTTATCTCATAAGTACTCCTCCATTACCCGCATCACATATGGAGGGACTTTGGAGGTTCGGAGCGCCTCCATAATATTCCTCCATCTAGCGGTGTTAAAGGTGTTTCCAACGTCTAGCGTCGCCAGAACAACCATGGGTCTCGCCCCGTAGTATATACGCCTCGTCCGCAATCAGGTTACCGTGACTTTCAGGGTCACGTCTACAGTTAAGTGGTACCTTCAGAATCGATGTTCTCGGTTTCAATAATGCTTCGCACAGTCTGCCCGCTGTGTCCAGAACACTCAGCGGTCTGCAGGAGGATGGAGTATTCGATTCTTCTTTATCTTTAAGTAATCTAGCCGTTTTTCATCACATGAAGAAGATACTAGCCCGCAAGACCGCATTGAAATATGTCCAGGAGTAATCACGATCGTATTCCCACGATCTCTCGGAGGATCTCCCCCGAGAAAGAGTCTGGTCCTTGTGCCTTGCCAGGCCTAAGTGTGGTCGCAGTTCGGTTGAGCTCCCGAGTCATGATACTCTGATACTTTTGTCTGTCGGTCTTCAGTCATTTCGTCCATCACGGGTTATTGCGATTATTACGTTCTGCCGGTAAGCGTCAAGCCCTCGAAAAGACACGCATGCACGTCGTAGATAGCTCGGTACTTTCAAGTCTCGTTGCCGTCGCAACAACGATAGTGACAGCGGTATTTCATGATTGCACTAACAGCCCTTGTAGTGCACGCACGAAATCACCTATTATACTTCCACAGTTCGGAAACGTGTTCGGAACTGTCACGAGGCAAGGCCGCACAATAGAATGCACAAAAGAACCGCCACAAGGAAAAAGACTGCTACGAGACGCGCAACATGCGCTCTCTCTCAAAAAGCCGCCAGCTAATTGCTGTTCCTTGCGCCCCATATCTTCGCCACGCAGACCTCACACATACCCACACTCATACTCGCGGGTCTCACTCTCTCTCTCTCTGCTTATCGTCGACGCACTTCTCTCTTACCTTTCTCTTATCTTTCGTCTGCTACTACTGCTGACTCTGCGCTAGACATATTTATTTATTTATTGCAGATTAATGTACATAAATTATACACATACATACATTATTAAATGTAATCCAGCAGAGGGATTTCATTGCTGTTTGCTAGTTTGGTGTAAAATTGAAACTAAAAACTTAAAATTATATAAAATTAAAAATACATACATAACTTAACTAGAATATTCTGGGCGTATCCGCTTATACTGAAGTAGCATTGTACTGCTTCAGTAAGCAGATCACTGTTCACTGTACTTATTCTTTCTATATTACCAAATTCTATTTAACATTTGTTTTGCCGTTGTGCAGTTTCCCATAGTCTCATTCATGTTTCTTTTGTTTATAAGTCTTTCAAAATTGTTGAGTCTTGCTGGGCATATAAGTCTAATTGCACTGTTTCTCCGTAATATGGGAATATTTTTTTGTGTTATATTATGGGGGGTTGAATATTTACAAGGTGATCTGAATACAATGTCAGCCACTTTTACCCCCCCACGGACAAAATCAGTCTAACTTCAAAGTTTTATATCTCTGGTAGAAATTAACGTACAGAGACGCGCGTGGGTGCGTTTGAAAGGTCTTTCGGAGAGCTTTCAAATGATATGACTCACGGTTGCCATCGATTGTTTTTTTAAATTTTGCAACAATTATGCAAAATTGAAAATTTTGAAATTTTTTTATTATTTTTGACAATTAGCCAATTTTGGAAAAAAAATCGTACGAAAATTTGAAGTACACCATTTTTTAGCTATTACCAAGCCCTATCTGAATCACTCATCAAAAATTTATTTTCGTCAAATATGACGAGCGCACGGGCATTTTTTCTTGGAAGTGACAGTTTTTTTCAACATTTTTTATCTCCGTCAAATTGTAACAATCGAAAAAAATTTATAGGAGAAAAAATGTTTGTTTTTTCACGTAGAATACTGCAATAATTTTTTTTTTCGGTTTTTCGAAAAATTTTTTTTTCTCACAGTCGGTACGCTAAAAAGATGAGAAACCACAAAAAAAAATTTTTTTCCACCCATTCAATAATACTACATAACAAGTATCGTAAATTACATCAAAAAAAAAATCTTTTTTTTTTCGACCTTGAAAAATAATTTAAACCGAAAAAAAAAATTTTTCGAAAAACCGAAAAAAAAATTATTGCAGTATTCTACGTGAAAAAACAAACATTTTTTCTCCTATAAATTTTTTTCGATTGTTACAATTTGACGGAGATAAAAAATGTTGAAAAAAACTGTCACTTCCAGGAAAAAATGCCCTTGCGCGCGTCATATTTGACGAAAATAAATTTTTGATGAGTGATTCAGATAGGGCTTGGTAATAGCTAAAAAATGGTGTACTTCAAATTTTCGTACGATTTTTTTTCCAAAATTGGTTAATTGTCAAAAATAATAAAAAAATTTCAGAATTTTCAATTTTGCATAATTGTTGCAAAATTTAAAAAAACAATCGATGGCAACCGTGAGTCATATCATTTGAAAGCTTTCCGAAAGACCTTTCAAACGCACCCACGCGCGTCTCTGTACGTTAATTTCTACCAGAGATATAAAACTTTGAAGTTAGACTGATTTTGCCCGTGGGGGGGTAAAAGTGGCTGACCGGCACTGTATATCATAGTAGCTTGGTTAAGCTTCTAATGAAGATGTTGAGTTAATGAATGTTTGTTTCCCTTGTGTACCCCTGTAGAAATACAGTAGGGCTTTGCTATATCCTAAATAGTTGTATCGGTAGATCATCCTGCTACAGTTTTGATCCTATATAGACTTCCCCGGGGCTGATTAATTTCTTTACACGATCCTTGCATTTGTTTTCTTCTCCTATTATATCTATTGCAACGATTATCGAAAATCGTTAGACTCGCGCGAGGTTAATGAGCGGCTAAACGAGAGGAGCCGCGTTCGGTTCGCGAGAGAGAGAGAGCGCGTAGGTGCAATGACCGGGAGGGGAGGCTCCGACCGGCAGTATGACTGTGTCACTCAGTCCGCCTGTGTCGTTAACCTGTTTTCCCGAGCCGTTTTGAAGTTTTCGCGTGGTGGTGCCAAGGCGAACAGTGCGAACTTTGGTGTGTGCGTTGGGTGCAACAGCAGCAGCAGTAGCGATAGCAGCAGCAGCAGCAACAGCAACAACAGCAGTAGCAGCGACAGCAGCAACAACAACAGCAGCAACAGTAATCGCGGCGGTGTAGCGAGCAGCGAAGCGGCGTTCCAGCAATTGGTTGTTCGGATACGGTTGGCCACCGTATCCTCATCGTTCTCGCGGTAGGTGCACCTTCCCCCTTTTTATTATTGTTATAGCGAGCGATCCCGCGCAGCGTGCGCGAGGAAATTAGTTGTTGCGTGCGAGCGGTTAGTTCGCGGTAATCGCGGTTTTCTCTCTCTCTCTCATACGGCGTGTTTT